CCTGACGCATGCCACGTGGCGTGGTTCTGCCCAAGTCTGTGAAATCAATAGACACAGATTGTGCAGGTGCCTCAAGGATGGGAAGTGGATGGAGTAGGCCAAGGGGCGATCTATGTATGACCTTATTCCCCTGGCATAACTCACAGGTTTCCACATAGTGCAGCATGTCACTCCGCATCTCCTTCGAAAAGAAGCGCTGCGACAGGGCTACATATGATTTAAGGGCCCGGAAGTGACCACGAGCATCATGACACTCAGACATAAAGGGTGTTTTGAGCTTGCAATCAGAAGGGATGCACATGCGTTCCTCGCCTTTGCTGCATGTGTACAACAAATCTGAAACCAGGGTATAACCAGGTTCAAATGCAGGATCAGTCTGCAGATTCCTTACAATGGGTCCGAAAATCGGATCCTGTGGCAAAAAGCGGTGAATGGTCTGACGCGTCGTTCCTCCAAAAGAACGAGTAAAGGAGATTGAGAAGAGTGCATCAGGTCTACGCGAGAGGGCGTCTGCTACTCAATTGTAGCAGCCTTTCTTGTGTTTCAGTTCAAAGTCAAACATGTCAATGAACTTAATGTAGCGGGCAAGCTTATCGTTCAACTCTCCCTGAGAGTTCATCCACTGTAGGGTGGAGTGATCTGAAAAAATCTTGAAGTGTCTTCCCAGGAGAAAGTGTTTCCAAAGTGCTGACACGAGGGCATACAGCTCCTTCTCATAAGAAGATTACTGCAACTTCTTCAACTTGATCTTCTTACTCATGTACTCAATTGGCTACAGACCATTCCCATTGTCCTGCTGAAGTACAACTCCTACACCATAGTTTGTAGCATCAATAGTCAGCACAAAAGGTAGTGCAGGATCCAAAAGCTTAAGAACAGGTGCACGAATCAAGGCCTCCTTCAGACGTGTGAAAGCCTGCTGACATTCAGATGTCCAATGAAAGGAAGCGTCTTTCTTTGTAAGGTCATTCAGAGGTGCAGCAATAGAAGAGAAGTTCTTAACGAACTTCCTATAGTACGATGCAAGCCACATGAAAGATCTGACATCACGAATGTTTGTTGGCTGCGGCCAATCCTGAACTGCTGCAACTTTCGTTGCTTCAGAAGCTAACCCCTCTCCAAAGATAACATGACCCAAGCAAGTCACAGAAGTCACTCCAAAGGAGGACTTTTCCCTGTTGATCTTATACTTGTTGTCGTGCAGAGCTTGGAGGACACGAGCCAAATGCTTCGCATGCTCCTGGGCAGTCCGATTGAATATCAGGATATCATCCAGGTATACAAGTACGAACTTGTCCAGGTAAGGCCTGAGTATGTGATGCATCTCTGTCTGGAATGTACCAGGTGCATTGCAGAGACCGGATGGCATGACCAGATACTCATATGTACCATACCTGGTCTTGAAGGCTGTTTTATGAACATCGCCTTCTGCCATCTCAATCTGGTGATAACCAGATTTGAGGTCGATCTTAGTGAACAATGTACAACCTTGTACCATATCCAGCAGATCATCGATCCGAGGAAAAAGCTCTGTATAACTTCCTCATGATCTTGTTGAGTCCTCTGTAGTCTACACACATCCTGAACTCGCCATTCCCCTTTGGAACAAAGAGGACTGGGGCACCGAATTCAGAAACACTAGGACGAATCCAGCCTTTGCTGGTGAGGGTTTCCAACTGCTTCCTGAGCTCCTGTAGCTCAGCAGGGGACATCCTGTGGATACAACCAGATCCAAGCAGCACCTTGATCTTATGTTGGGTCTGTCTGTGGACTAGCCCAGTAGGCTCCTCCATAAGATATGCAAACTTGTCCACCACTTGCTGTACCTGAGGAGGACGGGGAGGGAATCTTCACATCAGTCTGTTTGACAAAAGCCACAAACAGGCAGGTGTGGTCAGTCTGGCGTGACAAATTGAAAAACTTAGAAGCACGCATGCAAAAACAACTGCTGATCGGGTGGTACTCGTCGGCTAGCATGCATGGCCGGTATTCCCCTTGCCGATTAGGCAGCTCAACCCTGGGGATATACCAGTCAACCCTGGGGTTAGTGGCCTCTAGCCACTGCAAAGCGAAGACAAGATCAAAGGGTACGTCTGGGAATACAGAGAAATTCAGGTGTTGCCTGACTGTGGATGAGTCCCCTATATGGACCGCAAGCGGCTGCTGCAATTTCACCAGTCTCTCATCCAGATGCAGCTTGCTGATTGTTCTGGGAGAGATGAAGTTGCGAGTAGCCCCACTGTCTAACAACCCTTTGATTCTGCCTCCTAGGATCAAGGCTTGAAGTAGGATGAGATTTGTCTTATGCTTCTTCTTCTCCTGGAGTCTCAGGAAAAGATCAGCAATAAGGTGCAGTTCATCCTCCTCCCACGTCTCATCCAATTCAGAGTCTTCACAAAGGAAAGACCCTGAAACTGCAACTCCAATTCAGAGTCTTCACAAAGGAAAGACCCTGAAGCTCGACGATGGTGCATCATCTCCTTCATCAGAAGACGACTCACCACTGGTGGATGAAGTTGCTAACTCCCCCAATCGCTGCTCTAGTTTTTTTAGCTTGAGCCTGTGCCTGAGCCCCTGCGTGGCATATGGGGACAGTTCTTGAGAAAGTGGTCCCCGACACATCTCAAACATACTCCATGATCCTTCCTCTTTCTCCATACCCCTTCCTGGATCCTCACTACATGCCACGAAAGGGTGGAAGCATCCAAGAGGTCAGCTGGCCATGAAGAGTTTCCTGGTAGCCTTGCTTTGTTTGCAGGGGAGGGGAAACGTTTCCCACCTCGTCCCTTGCTGCCACTGGAAGAGGCTTTCGTAGGTCCTTTGCCTTTGATGAAGGCTGCAAAAGCGTTAGCCAGGGCCTGACCAGCTGGCTCAACAACTAATGGGGAGGCAGTCTCAGTAGGGGGGCTTCCACTCTGAGAAGTTGTCTCATCATCTGAACTAGCAGCTGTTGCCAAAAGGGCACCCTTCTTCTTCCTGCCCCTGAAGGAGAGTCCCTTCCTTCCTCCAGAAGGGTCCTAAACCCGAAGTCTAGCCTCCAGGTCCACTGCTGCCCAGCCAAAGGATCTCCAATCCTTGTATTCTTTAGTGAACAAGACTACTGGTGAAATGAATGAGCTGGTCTTCCTCAGTCATTTCAAATCCAGGGGTGGAGGTCAGAGTCTCAAAAAAATTGTATAACTTAAACAAGGAGCCTTCCCATTTTCGCTGACCGATCTGCATCAGCTTATCAGCGGCCTTCCTGGCCTGCTCCTTGTTCCTGAATCTTTCCTCCAGGGCCCTCGAAAATCCCTCCAAACCCAAGTTGCAGACCCACTCCATCATCTGCATGTGCTGGCGCATGGAGGTAGACGTACACCATTTCAGTGCAGCCTTCTCTAGGCGGCCAAGCACAATGCTGACCTTTACTCGTTCATCACGGGCGAACCCACTCAGGAAGGTTCTCTGTGCAGCAGTCCAGTCTGTCACATCCACCTTCGGGTCCTCACCTGAGAACATGGGTGGAGGTGTCAGCTCGGGTTGCAACACATCGCCTGGTGAGGGTACAGAGGAAGATCGAGAATGAGGACTAGAACATGGGGACTGGGATTTAGGTGGTTGTTGTGGTTGTGGGATGATAACAAGAGTAGGTTTCTTGAGGGAAGGTTCAGGAGAAAGAGAATTTGGCAAGGATACGATCAACCTTGGAACCCAGATCATCAAGCTTGCTCTCTATGGCAGACTGATGGGTCTCCACGGCTGATATCCGGTCATCCCAGTTGGTAAAATAAGATTTGTTTAGTTCGTCCTGAAGGACAATCATCTTTGTATGTCTTATTGTACCCACTGGCAGTACCACTCTCCTGAATCTTTCCCAGTTCTACCAGGAGCTCCTTTCTCCTGGTTTCCTCTGCAGCTGCCTGCTTGTCCATTTCCTTCTCTTCCTGTAACCTTTGTAACCTTTTCAGCACAGCAGCCTTACCCTCAAACTCCATCTGAGCTTGTTGCAGTGCCTAATCCAACTTTGAGAGAGGGGGCTGTGATGATTCCCCTTTCTCAGGCATGATGCTTGAGGTTAGTACCCAACAACAACAGATAGATAGAGAAAGTCAGAAGCGGAAGTCAATGGCAATTAGGATTCCCTTCAGGAATGTCCTAGTCGCCTATCACCTGACAGGAAGTGGAATTGTGGTTAGATGAGTAAGCGAATAGTTAGTCTCAGTAGACTGCTTGGGGTCAGACTCAGTTTAGGGCAAACCCAACAAAAACCATTTCACGATTTTCCATCCACTGCCCAGACTCCCTAATCAGATGCAATTCCTTGAACTATGCTTTGAATAATTGACAGAGTTCAATCTAGGACTAATTAGTATAGGTTAGTAATACGACAGGGTGATTATTGCCCACATACAGGTAGAATAGTAGACCCAAAGGAATACGATTTACTGTAAAGCTATTTTTAGCCAGCCACACACTTCTTCCTCACTGTTTGACCCTCGCAACCATACCCTGGTATGGCGATTTCACGGTTTGCACTGTACTTCTATACTGACTTTGCGATTTCACACAGGTACAAAAGACTGAATTGCGATTTCAAGGGATCAATCAGATTCAAATTCTGACCAACAGAAAAGGAAATATGACTAACCCTTTTTTTTTTTTTTTTGTGGGACAACGCTCCAATCTATTCGTGGGGAGCAGCATGTGCTGGGAACCGGGCCCAACATCCCATATGGAAATTTACATCGAATTTTGAAAGTTTGAGATACCGGGGCCATTACCCGGCTTTGACGGAGAGGGCTTTGAGAGAATTTTGAGCTACTTAGAAAATTAGTACGACAAACTGCGAAAAAAAGGTCTGCCCACAACAAAACATGCCACCACAGAGGTCCTACAAATGCTCAAAACCATGTGGAACCCTAGCAACCATTTTAAAGCTCTCCAGCACTGTCTTACTCCTTGTCGAGCTCTTACAAGCCTCACACCCCCACCCTGCTGGGTTACAAGGCAACACGACTCACCCCAGCTCCAACCATCGTCGTCCCAGCAGCAACCCTTGTTGTCCCTTGGAATGCCCACCCCAAAGCATCCCCAGATCTCTCTACCAGGCCTCACACTCCTGCATCAGCAGGTTACAGGGCAACACCCCAGCACCGGCCAGCRTCRKTCTGGCATCGAACAGYCGCAGATCACWGAGTATATCAGCAATGGAGCCGTCTAAGATGAGTTGCTAGAAGTCCCCAGAATCTTAAATCATTCTTAAGACCCCCATTGGCAACCAAAACCAACAAACCATGGATAAAGGAAAAACTCAGAAACATTCATGGCGACTACTCAAAACTCTACCAAGTCACTATAATATGTGTGTCAAAAAGCCTCCCAACCCCGAATCAGATAGGTGAAACCTATTCAATCCACCTATGACCACCACCAGCGTGGTTGTTTTCAACACGAACTGAAGCTCGTCCAGGACTCATGGTCCCATCAGGTTAGGTTACAGAGTTGCACCACCTTGCTCCAACATTGGCCAGCATTGCTCCAGTTACGACCCCCGATGACCACTGAGACTGCCCCCGCAAACAGCCCCCCATATCTCTTTACCAGGCCTCATGCCCCCACTAAGCTAGGTCACAGAGTTGCGCCACCTGGCTCCGGCTTCGGCCAGCGTTGCCCCAGCATCGGTCTTCGAGGGCCACGGAATTTTCAGCCACCCTTCGCACAATCACAGATAACTTGCCAAGTAGCACCTATTCCTACAACCTCCTCGAGAGGCAAACCAAATGGAAAGAAATGGAAAAAAATGCCAAGCCGGATGTTAGAATTCTTCGAGAGAGATCGCCCATCCCTCCCCCTACCCCTCCCCCCTCAGCCCTCCACTGCCTCCGCCGAGGTGAGTCACCCACTCTCCCTCGACCCCAATATAGGACCAACCCTCTACCCCTCTTTCCCCAGGAGCACGCAGTTCCCACCTAAAGCATGTCCCCCCGTCCCTTGCCCATTTCTGCCTCCGCTGGGACTGACGTTGACCCACACACCAGCCCCTGCCCCAGAATAGGGCAACCCCCTACTCCGCCCCTACCCAGTTTAAGACATTCACCCTAGTCTACCCTACCTCCAGATATGGAAGTCCAAAGATCGGATTTTGATTTCCACTGACAATTTGGCACAGAATTAAACCCATCACTTGATGAAATAAATCACAATATTGTACAGCAGTCACAGATGAAGTTTGAGTCAGAGAAAAGGTAAAGCTGAGTTAGTAGATGCAGAAGAAGATAGGTAGGAGAAACTAACGATGGCTGTCAGGCAATAGAATTGCCTAGATTCAACAGTAAACTGATAGACAACCTATATTTCGACTTTCTAAAAATAGCCACAAAATCGCCCCATTGAGTAGATGATGGAACACACTTACTTCACTGCATGTCTGCAGAGGAAGATGGAGAACCAGCTATGGCTGACATCTCTCATCCTGTACTCGCCACTTTCTTCAACTGACAGTCTCTGGTGTTCCCACGTACAAAATCTACTCAAACTTGGTTACCTTGCTCTTCCCACAGTGGCGCTTCACCTCCACTTGCCAGATGCACCGAATTTGGTCCTCTAGGGTTTGCCAAAAGTGGCATCCCAATGTTGCGTTGTCAGACCCTGCTCAGCGCTGGAGGGCAATTGGCCTATCTCTGCCAATTCTTCTCGCCGCACCCTCATAAGTAATCCAAACCCTCAATCGCTTGAAGAGATTGAATCGGCAGGCTATTTTTAGTCTTCCATGGTCTTCCAGATCTGTGGAGGGCCAAACACCATCCCACTCAGTGTATTCACCACCTACACCTACTCGCCACCACCCTACTGTCACCACCCTGAAAATGACAATTCACCAAGAAATTCGCCTTCAGAGATCTTCCAGATGATGATGGCTACTCCCACTCATCTCAGTATCACTGCTCAGATCCAATCGCTTCGATACCAATTGTTATGAACTTGGTTGCTTGTTGTCAATTTCGTCAACACCCACACACAGAGTCTCCCATGCATGCCCATACACACACAAAAGAAAGGGGAGAGGAAGAGGAATCATCACATCACACAGGAAAAACATGCGCAGCAGGAGACTTGTCCATGCAACATGATCATCACACTGGCACTGCGATTATCCCCAGAGTCTCCTCACAACCAATCACAAGAGATTCACTTAGTAGATCACATCCAGAGATTCAATGAACACTGAAATAGCAAAATACACAATATAGGACTCTCGTCGCTTCAGAAATTGTCCTAGAACAATATAGCGCTGTTCAGGAGAAGCAGTGCTTCTTCTACGTCTACTGAGTAGCCTCGCTACTCTCCCCAGGACCCTGAAACCACAATCGTCATACAACTAGGGCCTCATGAGGACCTGCGCCACCCAACAGACGAAGAAGAAGGCCAGTGCCACAGTGTCTTATGAAGATGGAGACCCATATGATCTTCCTGATGAAGATCAGCAGCTGCACCACCCTTTCTGATGAAGAAGACGACCTCTGAGAACACTTGCTGCAGCTATGGCTACAGCCCACCATTTTGAGGCTTTCAGCAGACCTCCCCCAAATAGCCCCTGCCTCCTGACAGTCCCAACGTACTGCAGGAGGATAGAGGAGTACCCAGCTATGGCTGCCTCTCCAATGACCAGGCTATGGTCGACGTCTCTCGCGTGCTCCGATGCGAAACAACTCCAGTAACAACTCCAGCGCCGAATGACTGAACTGCCAAAAGCCCCGAACAGATTACTACAATCTATTAATAGCTCTACCCTACTCTAGACTCAACCTAGACCGGACTGACTGGACCGACCGGTACCGTTTCAATTTCGGCCTCTAGGGCCTCTCCCTAGCCGGCTATAGGCTATAGGACCGTCTAGCAGCGTAGGCTTTAGGGCCTGTCTGTCCTAGGGGTAGCCCGGGCCTGCTATTCGCAGTTAGGGTAGCTGTAGGGAATTCGGGTTAGTGCGGGCCTATAATTTCCTGAATTTGCAGATATGTCCCTCACAAATTTCCTCACAGTCATATATCGCAGTGAGCCCCACAGCCCAGGCGCTCGCTCCAATGAAAAAAATCCAAAGGCGCTAGCGCCAGCGCTAACGGTCTACTAATGATGTGACCCTCAGCCAAAAGTTCTAGACAACATATTTTTTTTCTGGAATTCTTTGATTTTTTTTATTTTTTTTTTTTGCGTTGGGGCTGCCCGGAACCCTGCCCAAGGGTCATGCCCGGCCAGGCACCCAGGCGTGTATCCGGGCACAAGTTGGGTGCCCGGGCGCCCGAAAAAACACCCTAGGAAAAAACTGAAATGAACCACATGAACGAAAGAATTTGCAAGAGTGCAAATAGCGCCAGGCCTCAGCCATGAGCGGAGCTATCCTTATTTCGCACCTTTGGCTCTTGTGACCGCGCAAAGGAGCGAGTTACTTCCTACGTACGCCGATCAAGTTGCCTGCGGGGAGGGGGGTTCCTTCCCTCTTTTTCTCAAAAAGTAAGCAAACGAACGCCAAATATCGAAACATATTAGGCTACCAGCCAGGCCGCTCAGGTCACCCTATTTTCCCGAACGGCCCGACCGTGCAAGGTACAGGGAAGGTCTAGCAAAAAGAAAAAAAAAATCAAAAAAATCCTAGGCTACCAGCCGGTCCGCCCAGGTCACACTACTTTCCCAGGCGGCCCGGCCGTGCAAAGGACAGGGGAAGGTCCCAGCCACAAAAAAAAAAAAAAAAAAAAAAAAAGCGAGGCTCAAGGCCTCAACGAGCCCTAACGGGCCCTGTTTCCAGCAAGGTCGGCTGCCCTAAGTGAAGGCAGGCCCGACCAAGAACAAGAGGCCTATTTTGGGCTACCACGCAACTGGGGAAAATTCAGGCAGTTGCGCAGCGCCAGTTGGTTGAGAGCGCCCAGGCCCTGGCTGCCTTAATCAAATGCATTTGAGGCAGGCCCTGGGTGAGATATGCAACATGGACCCTACACAGGCTGCGGGCAGTTGGACACGGGTAACCGCCATAGGCCCTGGGCCTGATTCTTTTGGACTGGAGCTCAGCCTCCCGGGGCCTACCGGAAGCTTCTGGGCCGAGGTCGAGTGCAGCCAGGCCGCACGCAGCAGGCAGGCCACTTCCATTTAGGAAAGTGCCTGCCCCCGCATTTGGCATTCGGGCACTGGCTACATGCTGCGCAAGCGCTGCTGCGCTAATCGCTGGCCAGCGCCCCCGCGCTCACGGGCACGCAGGAAGAGCAGGCAGCCATAGCCGACCTGCCCTGCATTACGCTGGATGGGGCGCATGGTGGTCCTTGGGTGCATGTGGCATCTGTGAGTGGGTGATCGAGGTTGTGAGTGATGCGAGAGAAATACCTGGTGCTTGAGGCGAACGGCATTGGCCGAGATCTGCTCGTACTTCAGGAAGCTGTTGACGTCACCAGCGGCATTGTAGAGAGGCTAGATAGGATCTGCCATTTGTAGTCTGGGCACAGAGCGCCAGAGAGGATGTCGTCATTGGTTCTTTGTTGATGATCATGAGACTATTCCAACATTGCCACATGTAAGCTTTTGCTGTGCTCTTATTTGGTGGAACTCGAGTTGCAATTCTGCTTTTGGTTCGAGGTCACAACTATCTGGTTTCATGTGTATGATGCTGCTTGGTTTTCTGGAATTCGCTATTGCTCATTTTCCTTGAAAAATCCAAAAAATCCGAAAAAGAACTATGTTATGCAGAAAAATAAACTAAATAACTTTTGCCTCAGGGTCATATCAAGATTCTTTACCAAATTTAAAATAAAAATATAAATTAAAACATATTTTTTATTTTTTATTTTTTTTGACCCGGCTGAGCAAATGGACTCGGGCGACTCTGGTAGCCTAGAAAAAATCCGAAAAAAAACTACGTTATGCAGAAAAACAAACTGAACAAATTTTGCCCCAGGGTCACATCGAAATTCTTTGCCAAATTTAAAATAGAAAATAAAGTTTAAAAAATATTTTTTCTTTTTTAATTTTTGCATTTCTTTTTGGCCTAGCTTGGCAAGTGGCCCCGGGCCACTCTTGTATCCTTGGAAATAAAAGCAAAAATGCAAAAAAGTAAACAAAGGTAAACAAGCACGAGGG